ATGAAGATGTTGATGAACAACCTGAAACTTGATGAAGATGTTGATGAACAACCTGAAACTTGATGAAGATGTTGATGAACAACCTGAAACTTGATGAAGATGTTGATGAACAACCTAAAACTTCATGTAAACCATGAACAATTTTTCCTGGTTATATACATGGTGTTTTAAAATGATAAACCCAATTTTAAAGCAAACTGCTTTGACATTGAGTCAATATATTTGAAACACCATGAATTATTATCTGAGAAAGAGTAAATTTATTTTTGTATGAATAAGAATTCAAAATGGAAAGCAAGAGAGTGGAGTGTCCAGGTTCGATTCCCAGCAAGGGTGGAAACACCGGACGTGTTTCCTTACACAGGTTGTGTATGTTCACCATCAGTAAAATAAGTTCCTGGGTGTTAGCTGACTTATGTGGGTCGCATCCTGGGACAAATTTGACCTAATTTGCGGAAAATGCTCAGCATAACAAGGGTCTTTCTATATAGTAGTATGTCATTGATGTCAGCTATGGTCTGTATACCTTGTACATGTACTGGTAGCCTGGAGTAAATAAAGATTATTATTATTATTATTATTATTATTATTATAAGATAAGAGAGGCCTGGCAAGTGACTAATGAACAGAGGGCATAATTTTAATGCCAGGAATGTCTACAATGTTTATTATGGACTCTTATATTGGCATTTTTTTTAAATTTTGTGAAATGGCCAAATTACCGAATTCTGATCACTTTAGAGAGTAGGTGATGTAGTTTAATGTACGGTTCTTATGCTCCATCAATAGAATGGAAGGCATACCATAGAGAAATAGCTAAGAATTTGGTAGACTGGAACAACAAAATTGGCCTAAAATAGGACATGTAGTGGGCGAAATTTCCGGTGCGTAAATTGCTCAGAGACCCTTGTGGGTTTAGTGCTTAGTTATGATTATAATAATAATTTTCATCAAATTTCGTATTTTTTGGTGACATTACCTTTGGAAAAATATTCTCTTAGCATTTCAGAAGAAAAAATAAGTTTATTTTTTGGGGTTCATTCAGGGCCCCGGACAGTGGAAGGGTTACCTGGAGTTTACCTAGAGAGAGTTCCGGGGGTCAACGCCCCCGCGGCCCGGTCTGTGACCAGTTAATGGTGTGTGTTGATGCCATTTTGACATTCCCTAATCTCGAAATGATATTGTGTTATTTTACATTATTGCATTTTGCATTGATGCTGGTGAGAGGCTCTTGATCCAAGGAACTGGGCTTATTTGTCCCCCTTGCTTGGATTAAATGTAGATGCCTTTCATTTTACAGGTAATATATGGCCCCTATCAGCCCTATGGGTTTGGCACTTTTCCCCGATTAAAATATATAACAATTGTGTACGGCATCAACCTTCAAGGACCCTAAATGGGAAAAATCAAGGATCCCAATGGAAATCAAGGCCCCAGTGGAAAATCAAGGAACTCATGAAATCAAGGACCCCAATGGAAATAAGTCACTGACTTTTGGGGGTTATCCTAAGTAATTTATACATATATGTATATGATAATCTGTATATTGTACCTAAACAAACTTACTCATGTATCGTATGGAATGGCTGAAACATTGCATGGGTAGGCTGTGTTGGCACAAATTTTGCTGGAAAACACATCCTCTGGTCACCTTTAAACATAGGCATAACACCAAGCATAACACAGGCATAACACCAGACACAAACATCTCTACGACATTCCCCGTGTTCGACTAAACCTTTACAAAAATTCAATGTATTTCGAAGGCCCTAAAATCTGGAACACCCTACCTGAAAACTCTAGAACTGCAGACACATTCATCACTTTCAAAACTACAGTTAGAAAACATCTTATCTCCCTGATCCACCCCGACAACTAACTACATGATAACCACCTGGTGGTTCACAATTACACTCACTCACCCACTGACTATAAACCCAGAAATACTAATCTTAATCTTAAAATAATAAATCCTAACTAGTCATAAGTTTGCCTATGATACTCCAGTATAGGCACTTTGTATTGTGCCAAAACAAAAGCATTCACATTGCTAAACTCAAAATTATGATGTAGTCACTTAGCCTTAATACCATAATCTGTAAGGATTTAATGTTAAGAATTAATCAAAGTCTGCCCAAAATGCCTAGCCATGCTAGGTGTCCTAGTGGCCCCCTCTGTAATTAGTATTTTATAACATGTAAACCACACAATACCCAAAACCTGTAAACCCCACATTGTAACCCTTATAGAGAATAAACTTGAATTGAATTGAAATGAATTTAGCTGTGATGTGTGTAAAAATTCAGATGTGCCATAGTTATGTTAGGAAGTATTTCTTCAGCCTTAGAGTTGTCAGGAAGTGGAACAATATGCAGTGATGTAGTAGAGAATTAGACACATGTGCAGCATCTGGGTATCTTTATTGTAGACATTTTGCCATCCAGTGGCTTTATCAATACAAATTCAAGGACATAATTTGAAGACAGTAGAATTATATACAAAAGATGAGGTAATCAGTCCCTCAGTGTTAGAGTTGGTGTGTAAAGTACCATAGTTATGAAGAATCTGGAGCACAGGCAAGAAGGCTGGCGCATATATTTCTATTGTGGCCCGGTGGCCTGGCGGCTAAAGCTCTCTCTTCACACACGGAGGGCCCGGGTTTGATTCCCGGCGGGTGGAAACATTCTAACATGTTTCCTTACACCTGTTGTCCTGTTCGCCTAGAAGCAAATATGTACCAGGGTGTTAGTCGACTGATGTGGGTCGTATCCTGGGGGACAAGATTGAGGATCCCAATGGAAATAAGTTAGACAGTCCTCGATGACGCACTGACTTTCTTGGGTTATCCTGGGTGGCTAACCCTCCGGGGTTAAAAACCCGGACAAAATCTTATCTCTTATCTCTTATCTTATGTGTTGTAAAGACAAGGTAGGGCTCCAAAGGAGTTGGAACAAATTGCAACAGTGGTCAGATAAGTGGCTGCTTGAATTCAACCTCAGCAAGTGCAAATTCACGAAGATTGAGGACCAAGAAGACCGGGAATAAAGTATAGATTAAAGGACCAGGCTGCAGACTTCACTCACAGAGAAAGGCCTAGGGGTGAGCATTGTGCCTAGTATATCACCGGAGGCTCACATCAGTCGAATAACCTCTGCAGCCAATGCTAGTCTGGCAAATGTACAAGAAACCTTCAGGAATCTCAACAAAGAGTCATTCCGGGTTCTTGAAACAACATACATCAGGCACAAGTTGGAGTATGCAGCACCAGTATGGATCCCACATCTGAAAAAAGTCACGTTAAAAAAGTGCAGATGTATGCAACGAGACTAATTCCAGAGCCAAGAGCATGAACTACGAAGAGTGACTGATAGAACTGAACCTAAACGCTATTGAAGAACAGAAGCACCCCAATGGAAATAAGTCAAGGACTCCATTGGGGTGCTTGACTTATTTCCATTGGGGTCTTTGACTTATTTCCATTGGGGTCTTTGACTTATTTCCACTGGGGTCTTTGACTTATTTCCATTGGGGTCTTTGACTTATTTCCATTGGGGTCTTTGACTTATTTCCATTGGGGTCTTTGACTTATTTCCATTGGAGTCTTTGACTTATTTCCATTGGGGTCTTTGACTTATTTCCAATGGGGTCTTTGACTTATTTCCATTGGGGTCTTTGACTTATTTCCACTGGGGTCTTTGACTTATTTCCATTGGGGTCTTTGACTTATTTCCATTGGGGTCTTTGACTTATTTCCATTGGGGTCTTTGACTTATTTTCACTGAATGGAAATAAATCACTTTGGCTTGATGGGTTATCGTAGGTAATTTATACTATATATGATCATTGTAATTATGTGTAAATGTGTCTAAATAAAATTTCTTACTTAGATCAGGGGACATAAGATGCAAAATAATCAGGGAATATTGATAAGATAGACAGAGACAGGTTGTTTGAGAGGCGAGTAAAGGAAACCAGGGGATGCTGTTGGAACTTAAAGTCACAGATGATCTACAGGGATGTTAGGAAGTATTTCTTCAGCCTCAGAGTGTGGTCGGGAAATGTAATGTTCTTGGTGAGGGAAATGGTGGAGGCAGACTCCATACACAGTTTTAAGAACAGGTACGATAGTCCCCACGAGGCTAAGAGGGAGTGAATGTGGAGAGTAGCAAAAAGCAGGGCCAAGAGCTGAGACCCAACCCCTAAAACCATAAATAGGTGAGTACAAATAGTTGATACACACATAAAAACCAGACCAAGTGTCTACCGACAAGAGCCTTTGACAGATGGTAACTAACATCAAGTTAAAAATATCATTGTAAAATCCATAAGATAAAATAAGGGGCACCCATAACACCTCACATAGTCCTATATCTCCCCATAACACAGCCATAAATGGCAGCCAACAGGTGAAAAACCATAAAAATCAATAGTTCATCATATTGGGAGACCAACTTTCATACAATGTCTCAGACCGTGACAAGCAGCTTTTGTAAATTTGATTTTATAAGATTTTTCTTCCCTGAAGGAAAATGTATTATGAGACAAAGGTTAAAAATGATTTAAAAATAGGCTGGTTTTATGTGTGTCATGAAAAAAGACATAAATGCCTATTCATCAAAATATTAACTCACATTTTTCAAAGATTTTCTATTATGAATTACAGCAATAAAGAAAATTCTGACATATGCTAAAAAATCATGTTATGGCTAAAAAAATATATTGAAATTATGAAAACTATTACGTGGGAGTTTGTAAAATTATTGAAATAAATAAAAAAAATAGATAATTCAACCTGGAAATTATGCTGGTAATTATTTGAGAAATTTATGATATAGAGAAAATATATAAAGTGAGATAAGAGAGAGATATTAAACTTTACATTATACAGAATATATTTATTTTTAATTATTGGAAATATAAAATTATTATTGAGAAAAACTTAAAGTTTACTAGGAAACAAAAATAATTAAAAGTTGATAACATGAGGCGGATGTAAGGGAGGCGAGTGGAAGGTTATGTAGTGGTGGTGAAGGCAGCAGTCGCTCCTCTACCTTGGATCAAACACTCTTCCCACGTCCCAGAGTGACATAGTGAAGGATATAAGCGTGAAGATGATGGCCGGGACATAATGTCCAGCAGCTGACACCAGTGAGCACCGCCATTACTGTTATATTAAGGGGGGGGGCTGACCCGCCCGTACGGGTTTACAATATGCATCTTGCCTGACTCCTGTGGGTTTAGCGCTTACTTTTGATTATAATGGTAACCGTTAGCTGATATGTAACAGTGTTTGTGCATACTTTAGTGCACATAAATGTACACTGTACTTACCTCGGTACATAACTGTACTTACCTCTACATAACTGTACTTACCTCAGTACATAACTGTACTTACCTCGGTACATAACTGTACTTACCTCTACATAACTGTACTTACCTCAGTACATAACTGTACTTACCTCGGTACATAACTGTACTTACCTCTACATAACTGTACTTACCTCAGTACATAACTGTACTTACCTCGGTACATAACTGTACTTACCTCGGTACATAACTGTACTTACCTCAGTACATAACTGTACTTACCTCGGTACATAACTGTACTTACCTCAGTACATAACTGTACTTACCTCGGTACATAACTGTACTTACCTCAGTACATAACTGTACTTACCTCAGTACATAACTGTACTTACCTCGGTACATAACTGTACTTACCTCAGTACATAACTGTACTTACCTCAGTACATAACTGTACTTGCCTCAGTACATAACTGTACTTACCTCAGTACATAACTGTACTTACCTCGGTACATAACTGTACTTACCTCGGTACATAACTGTACTTACCTCGGTACATAACTGTACTTACCTCGGTACATAACTGTACTTACCTCGGTACATAACTGTACTTACCTCGGTACATAACTGTACTTACCTCGGTACATAACTGTACTTACCTCGGTACATAACTGTACTTACCTCGGTACATAACTGTACTTACCTCGGTACATAACTGTACTTACCTCGGTACATAACTGTACTTACCTCGGTACATAACTGTACTTACCTCGGTACATAACTGTACTTACCTCGGTACATAACTGTACTTACCTCGGTACATAACTGTACTTACCTCGGTACATAACTGTACTTACCTCGGTACATAACTGTACTTACCTCGGTACATAACTGTACTTACCTCGGTACATAACTGTACTTACCTCGGTACATAACTGTACACTGTACTTACCTCGGTACATAACTGTACACTGTACTTACCTCGGTACATAACTGTACACTGTACTTACCTCAGTACACGACTGTACTTGCCTTGGTACACGACTGTACTTGCCTTGGTACACGACTGTACTTGCCTCAGTACACGACTGTACTTGCCTCAGTACAAGACTGTACACTGTACCTAGTGTACATTGCTATATACATTGTTAGTATATTTGCTTTCTTTCCAAGGGAGGGTCATTGATGCTGTTGAAGGGCTCTTGATCCAAGGAATTGCATTTGTGCTCCTGTTCCTGAGTCTGAATGTCTCTTCATACCCCTTTCCCCTGGCTCCTCTGGCTCCCCTGATGCTGTATGACACCCTGTGGGTTTAGCACTCCCCTCCCCCATGAGCATAATAATCGGGGAAGGCCTTTGGTGGATGCAAGTCGCTTTGACTTTTTTTTTTTTTGGGGTTATCCTAGTAAGTTTATTTAGGTACATGTACACACGAGTACAGTTATCATACATAATAATAATCTCTATTTCTACAAGTACATGTATAAGGTATACATGCCTAGCTTGGTGGCTAAAGCTCTCTTCACACGTTGAGGGTCCGTGCTCAATTCCCGGCGAGGGTAGAAACGTTGGGCGTGTTTCCTTACTCCGGTTGTGTATGTTCACCCATCAGTAATGGTATCTGGGTGTTAGTCGACTGGTGTGGCTCGCATCCTGGGACAAAACTGACCTAATTTGCCTGAAATGCTCTGCACAACACGTCACTTTCTATATACAGTGGACCCCCGCATAGCGACCTTAATCCGTGCAAGAGGGCTGGCTGTTATGCGAAATGTTCGCTATGTGAATGAATTTTCCCCATAAGAAATAATGGAAATCAAATTAATCCGTGCAAGACACCCAAAAGTTTGAAAAAAAAAATTTTACCACATGAAATATACATTTTCCTACACACAAAGAGAAGGATACATGCACAATAGTAGAGTAGTACATGCACAGTATATATTGTGCATGTACTACTCTACTAAATGAAGAATAAATGACACTTACCTTTATTGAAGATGCAGCAATGACTGATGAGACACTGTGTCCTGGGAGTGCCTTTTCCTCCTGAGTACTGTAGGTCCTGTTTGGTATTTTCTTCCAGAACAGGCCTTATCACACTGTGTATGTCACTACGATTCTTAAATCTCTCAAACCAACCTTTGCTGGCTCTAAATTCACCAATATGAGCACTAGTTCCAGGCATTTTCCCTGTTCACCTGGGTGTTAGTCGACTGGTGTGGGTTGCATCCTGGGAGACAAGATTAAGGACCCCAATGGAAATAAGTTAGACAGTCTTCGATGACACTGACTTTTTTGGGCTATCCTGGGTGGCAAATCCTCTGGGGTTAATTGTTTCTTGGTATTCTCAATAAGCCACACCAACAACGGTGCTACAGCAGCAGCAGCAGCAGCTGACGATGTTACAGCAGCAGCAGACGATGCTACAGCAGCAGCAGCAGCAGACGATGCTACAGCAGCAACAGACGATGCTACAGCAGCAGCAGACGATGCTACAGCAGCAGCAGCAGCAGACGATGCTACAGCAGCAGCAGCAGCTGACGGTGGTACAGCAGCAACAGACGATGCTACAGCAGCAGCAGACGATGCTACAGCAGCAGCAGACGATGCTACAGCAGCAGCAGATGATGCTACAGCAGCAGCAGATGATGCTACAGCAGCAGCAGACGGTACTACAGCAGCAGGAGCAGCTGACGGTGGTACAGCAGCAGCAGCTGACAGTGCAGCAGCAGCAGCTGACGGTGATACAGCAGCAGCAGCAGCAGCAGCAGCAGCTGTACCACCAATAGTAGCGATGGTTGATTGGGGTTTATTATACAACCTGGCCAGCTCGGAGACACGCACTCCACTTTCATACTTATCAATGATCTTTTTCTTCATCTCCATAGTAATTCTCACCCTTATTGCTGTAGGGTTGGCACTAGAAGCTTTCTTGGGGCCCATGGTCACTTATTTTCCAGAAAAAAATCACCAAAAACACTGTAATAATACAAAATGTTCCGATTGTATGCTTGGATGTTACCGCGGAGGCTGGCTGGTAAACAATGCCACCCGCGGAACATGTGAGCGTGGCTCAAGCGCACATTGGACGCGTCTCGGACGAAGGCCGCTGAGCGGGTTTTTGTCCACTATGCGGGGCAAAATTTTAGCGATCAAAGCGTCCGCTATGCGGATTGTCCGCTATGCAAGGCGTCCGTTATGCGGGGGTCCACTGTACAGTAGTATGTCATTGATGTCAGCTATGGTCTGTATACCTTGTACATGTACTGGAGTTTACCTGGAGAGAGTTCCGGGGGTCAACGCCCCCGCGGCCCGGTCTGTGACCAGGCCTCCTGGTGGATCAGAGCCTGATCAACCAGGCTGTTACTGCTGGCTGCACGCAAACCAACGTATGCGCCACAGCCTGGCTGGTCAGGAACCGACTTTAGGTGCTTGTCCAGTGCCAGCTTGAAGACTGCCAGGGGTCTGTTGGTAATCCCCCTTATGTATGCTGGGAGGCAGTTGAACAGTCTCGGGCCCCTGACACTTATTGTATGGTCTCTTAACGTGCTAGTGACACCCCTGGTAGAAATAAAGATATTATTATTATATAGAAAGTCCTTTGTTATACCTGTACCTAAATATACGTACTTGCTAATGAATCCATTATGTATGCTCATTGTACTTTATACAGCTTCTCCTCACTTAGCGGTGTATTCGTTTACCAACACCTCAGACTTATGACGGGCTCTCTGACCAGTATACATACCTAAATAATGTATATTAGAGCTGATTTTCTATTGTTTTTCATTATACAGCACACTGTGTAAACATTTAAAACTATACCAGAAATGTTATAAATGGTGCAAAAAATGACATTAACCCTTTCAGGGTCCGTCCCGTAGATCTACGGCTTTATGTTCAGGGTCCAAACCGTAGATCTACGCCATGAGCTCAGCTCACTCTGATAAACTGTGAGTGGTACATTTGGGCCTAGATATGAGAGAATACATCTATGTGGTATGTGTGCACCACATAAAACAGATCCTGCAGCACACTGTGCATAATGAGAGAAAAAAAATGAAATCATGATTTTTCGATTAAAACAGCAACTTTGCAGTGTTTTTTCGTATGTTTTTTATAGTTGTATTTGCGATTTCTTGGTCTCATTTGATAGAATGGAAGACATATTACAGAAATAGAGATGATTTTGATTGGTTTTAGCATTGGAAATGGCTTGAAACTGAGCTCAAAGTAGCGGAAATGTTAAATTTTTGCCGATATTCAAGAGTAAACAAACGACCTCACACGTCTAATACACATCAGCTGGTGGGTCTAATATACATTCACAAATATTGTGATGATATTTATACAATTATTACAGTATTGCATAACAGTAAATCTTCTATTTTTTGGTGTGAATAAAAATTCATTATGTGAATAAAAAATCAAAATGCAATTTATTTGTAAAGCCTCAAAACATAACTAATGAACAGAGGAAATGTTAGTTTAGTGCCAGGAATGCCTACATTGTTCATTCTGGACCCTATTTTGAAATTGGAATATTTTGAACTTTGTGTTAAATTGGCCAAATTAACAATTTCCGATCACTTTATTTTGTAGTTGAAACAGTTGACTTGGCGATTTATTGTGCTCAATCGATAGAATAGAAGTAATACTAGTGAAATAGCTAAGAATTTGGTTGATTGGAATAATGTAATTGGCCTAAAATGGGAGTCAAAGTCGGCAAAATCGCCGATTCGTAAATATCGCTGACACATCAAAATTTGCGAGAGCATAATTTCGTCAATTTTCCACCAATTTTCGTACTTTTTGTTTTATTACCTTCACAAAAAGATTCT